TATGCATAGCTAGAACAACTGAGAGCTGGAATATGTTACATCTTTCTAGTTCATGTAGGCAATCTTTAGGCAAAAACTGAACTAAGTTTTGCTCATATATTTCTGTGATCTCAAATAATGAATAGAGCTGAAAAAAAAATCTTATGGTTTAGAACACATTTCTATAATATGAAAAAGAAGTTTTTCAAATTACCTCTCACAAAGATGGTTTCTTTGGGAGAGTGGAGATGGTAAAAAATTAATCTCTTTTTTTGCTTTTCTGGGGTGACAAAAGTGGAGCAGTAAGAAGCAATGGCTGCACTCTTGACACAAACAGACCAGCACAACAGTGACTCCTAGTACTAGGTTTTCCAACTTTATTAAAAAGGGCAAACATTACCAGCAGTAGATATAAAATATACATAGCAAAGTCTGACAGGTGGTACTGCTCAGTGTATCCCCTTCCTCGGTCTTCTCCCAGTTCAGAGGTACATGACAGAATTCTCATGGCCTCGGGGGCCGCATGCCAGGTGGAGGGGGTCCTGTGAACAAAGGAAAGGGTTGAAGAGGAAAGAAGCAGCAACACCAAACAAAAAATCTGTTTTCCCCATCCTCAGAGTAGCCATAGGACCCCGTTTTGGCACCAAAGCACTTATGACAACTAGCAGAGCTAGGGAGACACTGGAATGCATCACCATTCAAACATTACAGCTTCTTAGAGCCCCATGGCAGTTGGGATAAGCTCTGCTCACCTCTCATTCCTGGCGGTGGTGGTCTCATGCCTGGGGGGGGCATTCCCATGGGAGCCCCTCTGCCAGGTGGCATTCCCATGGGTGGGCCCATTGGTGGTCTCATGCCCGGAGGAGGTCCCATCATTCCTTAAGCCAGAGAAAAAACAAACATGTAAATGCAGCTGAATATTCAAGGCACGAGCTAGGTATCAGGACATCTCTCATAATACCAGATTTTCATCAGAAAAATTTTACCACTAATTTTGCAACAAAACATGAGCTCTACAAAGTAATTCCTACCTGGAGGAGGGGCTCCTCTGCTCATGGGTGGGGGAGGACCCCCACGCCCTGGTGTGTATTGAGTTGGGGCTCCTGCTATGCTGGCAGTGGCTGCTGCAGCAGCAGCTGCAACTGTTCCACGACCCTGGGGTGTCATCACCTGTGGACAAAACAAACAGACTCAGGAAAAAACAGCAACTGCTTTATCAAAATACCTAAAAAATAACACTGAACTTCCCTGTCAGAAAATTACACCAGTCTCTTAACTTACTAAATAACACTACAACCTGTAATATGATTCACTGGATACCACTTGAATTATGTATTGCACTTTTCAACCCCCTTCTTCTGTCATACAGGACAACACCTAGGGAGATCTAGTACCAAAAACAGCCTCGCTAAGCTCAAACTTTGTGGTAACAGAAACTAAGATTACAGTTCTTCCACTACACCAATTTTTTCCATCACACCAAAAAATAAAAGCCACATGGGTCATAGTATCTTACCTGTTGGGATGGTCCTCCCACTCCTCTGACGGGGCCAGCTAATCCTGCTGGAGCTTGTGGCATGGGAGCACCAGCTGGTACTCCCCTCCCTGCTGCTCTCCCAACGCCAGGTCCTCCAGCAGCTCCAGCGAGGGGTACCCGGGCAATTCCAGTCTGAAAACACAGCCCCCAAAAAGAAAGATTTATCAGAAGTCCTTAGATCCTACAGATGCCCACAGCCTTCTTTTGTCCAATTTAATGTCCAAGCCCACAAAGGAATTAGAGCTTCCTGCAGTGAAGTCTGTTGGACCTAGTCACAACAGCATCTGTAAGTGTACAACAATACAGCAGTAGCGTTCCCCTGCAAAGAAGCAAATTCATCAGATTTCCCTTCCCTTTTTCTTTAGCTTTCTGCTCATTCTTACATCTTTTGGAGGTGGTCCTTCAACCGTCATGGACACCAGGTTTTCCCCTCGCAGCAACACAAGACCAAGGACTCGTTTCTCTTCCCGCTCTGGCTGTTTTGAATTTTTAGGTCTGGTGAGAAAAAAAAATTGCAAAACAGGAGGAAAAAGAGAATGAATGAATGAATGAATGAATGAATGAATGCTGCTCTTTGAGCTTACAACGGAATAAATTACTAGGCTGCTTCTCCAGAGAGGAGCACATTTTTATATGCCTCAAACTAAGTATACAGAGAAGTCTAAACTGCTACAACTGGCATCGCATGGTGATTACTAGGAAAGAACTGAAACAAAGTGTCCCGTAAGCCTTGGTAGGTTGGGGATTTGACAAACGAGACTAAACCCACGACTGTTTTTGCAGGAGCCCGCAGCACACGCTGCCCCATCGCTGTCTTGGCTCTCGCCCCTCGCCCCCCTCGCCGGGGAGCCGGGCTGGGGGCACCCCCCCCACCGCTCACTTGATCTTGCGGAACTCGTCGCAGTCGCAGAGAATGAGATTCATGTGCTTATCGAAGGCCTTGAACGTGCCGATGAAGACGCGCCCATCCTGCAGGATGCACCGCATGCGGTAGTCGATGTGCTGCAGCATCTTGCTGCTCTTCCCCACCGTCTGCAAGAGAGCGCCGCGTTACTCCCGGAGCCGGTCCGGAGCGGAGCTCGCGGCATCGCCAGCTCGCTGCACCGCCGGCCCCCCGCCCGCGGGCCCGCCCGGCTCACCATGGTTGCGGCTTTCCGTGCTCCCCTCGCCGCCGCCGCCGCTCCCACCGCGCTCCTTCCCCCGCCGGAAGCTGCGACGCGCGGCCCCCGCGACTTCCGCCCGCGCTGCGCGGGCCCCGCCCGTTCCGGCGCGCCGCGGCCGCGCTTCCCGGGGCGGAGCGGAGCGGGGCGGAGCGGGCCCGGGGCGGGGGCTGCGCAGAGCTCCGCGGCCCCGCGCTCGCTGTCGGGGCGGAGGGAGCCGAGCGCGGCCGCGGCGCCGCCGCAGAGCCCCGCGCCAGCCCGAGCGGGTGCCCTGCATGAGCTCCTGCACACCCGGCCCCTGGCGCTCGCAGCCGCTCGCAGCCGCTCCCGGAGGCGGGGCACCGTGGGCACGGGGAACTGACGTGAGCCCCGCCGCGGCGGCCCCGGAGGCGAGGAGGGGCGCAGGGACGAGGGACGCTCGGTTAGCGGCGCTGACTCGGCTGCCGAGGGAGGTCGCTGGGGTGGCGGGGCTGGCGGGTCGGGTCTCCATGGTCCCCGCGGTCTCCATGGCAGCGCGGCGGGCGCATGACGCGCCCAGGGGCGGTGCCAGCGCCGGCAGCGCCTCGGCGGGGCCACGGGAACGCGGAGCAGCCGCGGGGGAGCGCGGGCGGTGGGCGAGGGCGTGGATGGGGACAGGGATAGGGATAAGGAGAGGGATAGGGAGCGCAGCTGTCGGCGCTGCGCCTCCTGTCTGCTGCTTTCCCCGGCGCGCTGCGGCGCCGCGCCCACCGCCCTCCGTGCCGGGGGCCCATGCACCGGCCCCGGCTCCGCTGCCCGCCCCCGGCCCGGCCCGGCCCGGCCCGGCCCGGCCGCAGCAGCTCCCGCTGTGCCGCGCTCCCGGCGCGCCGCCCCCGCTGCTCCCGTGGGGGCCGCGCCCGCTCCGAGCAGCCCCCGAGAGCGGCGGGGCCGGTGCTGCTTCGAGAGCCGAGCTATAGCACGGACAGCGCTTGGCAGAAAAATTATTGTTTAAAGCCTTTAACTCGGTTTTGGGCCAAGCTTCAGGGGTTGCTGCCTGGATGGCGGTTTGACTGGTTAAAAATAATAAAGCAGTTCTCTTTTTGCTTGTTGCTATCAGTTTCTGCCTTTGCCAAACGATGTTCTCTGCCGTACTGTGTTGAAATGTGCATGACTAGTGCTTTACACAGCCAAAGTGCAGCCATGGAAGGCCTTTGGAGGAATGTAGGATTCCAGAGGCAGGGAACCTGAGCCATTTGGTTCTCTGGTTTATCTGGAGAGGGATGTTTCTCATTGCTTGTTGTGTGAGGTAGCATAGAAAACTGCATACCTTCGAGTTGGACTCTGCCATCTCCTACTCTTTCATGCTGCTTGGCCAAGGAATGTGTCTTCTCTGCCCACCTGTCCCATTAGTCTCTCTGCCAATGTCGCTTCCAACTTTAGCTTGGCCAGTTGGTGCCATCTGGGGACTTGCTGAGGACTGCCGAAGGTGTTTTGTTGCATCTACAGGTTTCAAAAGCTGCAGCTATTCGCTTGTTGACTGGGGGATTCTACCAGGCAGCTTTTCTTTTTCAGGGAGTGTTCTTTCATCCTCCTCATTTTCATTCTGTGTGCAGCACACTTTGTTCTCTATCTGTAATGAAAAGAAGATTGAGTTTGTGAATAGGGAAATTCTTCTTAAAATACTCTAGTTGTTTTAGCTTGCAGCTTCTCAGAAGTCTTTTGAATACTCTGTTTTTAGTGGCTCTGATGATTTTTCCTTGCCCTGCAGCTACCCCTGCACCCCTGCTTTATATGACAGACCTCACTCTGCAGAAGCAGACTTAATTAATTTTTGATGGATTTTTGTTTGGCTTCTGTCTCTCTGTACAAACTGTGAGAAATTGTTTACATGCTGTTGAGAAGAATGTGCTGTGAGAGCACGCACATAAGTGACTGATAAACACAATTACGCAACATCATGCTCTGTACTTCTTCATAAGAGCTTCTCAACTGTTGCACTGCAAAATACCCATTGTAAAACCAAACATCTTGACACTCCTCTTGTCTGCAGATGCACAGTGAAATCTTTTCAAAGCATGCTGTTGGCAGACAACCTCATGTTAAGAGGCTGACCTGAAGTACCCTTTGTATTCATAGTCCAGTCTTCCTTGTTCTCTTCTGGAAAGCTGCTTCTGCTGAACCATCGATCTGTGTTGGTTCTTCAAAGCATTGTTTGACCAAGACTCTTTTAAAAAGTTTCCTACCTTCTTAAATTTTTAATTCCCGCTTCTCTGGGTTCTCCTTAGCCAAGTCGGTTTGGTGTTCAGATCTCTGCCTTTGGTAGAGATACCCGTGGTTCTGCTGTGTAAAAAAAAAAAAAAAAAAAAAAACCAAAAAAACCTGGAAGATATTTTTCGGTCTTGAAGCTCTGTTTATTTCACTGTGTATTTGCTGTGCCTTGAATACTGATTGGAATAGGGAGCATGGTTGCCAGTCATGAATGGGTGCTCATTTATGGAAGAAATTTGTGTTAAATAAGTGTGTTAAATAATTAAGTAATATGGAAGAAATAAGTGTTAAACATCATGGTGAGTTACTTTGTATGCAGCTGAGAGCTGTTTTTTGGAGATACCAAGGTAGTGTAATACAACTTGGTTGGTCCCTGGTTTTAGTGGTGAGGATATCAGAGGAGCTGCAGGTAGAATGCATGACCTCTTAGTGCTGTGTGCCTCTGCAGTACGTTTTTGGGGATGAAACAGGACATTTATACGGTTATTAAGGACATGATTTAGTGGTAGACTTGGCAGTGTTGTGCTTATGGTTGCACTTCACGGCCTAAGGGGTGTTTTCCAACCTAAATGTTCTGTGATTTTTGCAGCATTTCCCCTCATATCAGCGTTTCTGTTTTAATGGGTACTTCCCCTCTCTGAACGAGGCGTGCTCTCTGAGTGGGAAAAGACAAGTTAGAGATTTGTAGAGGCTTCTACCTCTAGTAATCTGGACATCTTTGTTTTGGCATATAAAGTGCTGTATTTCTTTGTAGTTTTCAGTAGCAACTTGCCGCTTGCAATACAAATAAAAGACTATGACAGTACTGCAAGGGGGGCTGAAGGGAGAAGTGGTAATTAGATGCTAATTACTCATGCATAATTACTCATGGGTCAATTAGTATAAAAATTTGCAAATTTATTTCTTAATACTGAAGGACTAAGCTTTGAGCCTTGTCTCTTCACTGTGTTTTTGTTGTGTCTCGAACACTGAATAGGTTTAGATGTTTTCTGGTTGTGACTTGGCTCGATCGTGGGAGAGGTAATTACCTGCTCAGTTATTACAGGCTGATTACTGGGGATGTTGTGTGTGTGCTTCTGCACAGGGCTGATGTTTCTCAGGCTTTCAGTTTAGGCCATCATAGCCTTTAATTGCTGGAGAACAGTGAGTGGAAATCACACACCATTTGGGAATTGCCTATCTGTTTCTAGATTTAATAAATGGAAACCTGTATACCCTGCAGGTCTGGAGGTGTCATGCAAATTGGGGTCTTTGAGAAGTACTGGTTGTATACTGGTAATTGCCCTGATTTGGTGCCCTGAGTCTGCTGCTTTTCCAAGGCCAGCTAATGTGTGCTGCTTACCTGAAAGGCTGGAGACCTTATTTTGAACCTAACTTGACTTGGCACTTTTCTGCATATGACGTGTTTAGTCTTAAAGTCATTTAATGAGTTTTAAGGAAATACAAGCCACTCTTGAGATTGGTGCTCAAACTGAAAGAGAAGGCCAGGACTACTGACTTGTAGCCATCTCTGTGAATTGGGGCAGGCTTTCCAAAATATCTTGAATTCTGAATCTGGCTTGCCAGATACTTCCCAGGTGGTGGGGGGTGGGAGAGTGGACCAAGTCTGGCTGTCATAGGAGTGCAGGAGGTCACATCCAGTTTTTTGGGCACAAACCACTGTGTGTGACAACTGACTGGGACCAAACCCTGAACACAAGCTTATGCTCTGAAAGGCAGATAAAAGGAGTGAAAGAGAAATTCCAGAGCAAATGCTGAGTTACTTTATTTTCCGTGATGTTTACTCGTGTTTTGGATTGATGATGTTACAGGAAGGGAATAGGATAAAGCTAGCTTCTGCTGCTTTGCCTAAGAACTTGTTTGAGTGGATCAAGTTATCTAAGAAATTTGGATGGGGCATGAATAAACACCAGCCCATGGGAGGGAGGCTACCTGGACAGTCTGTTCCTGCTCTCAATACAGACAGCAGCTGAGCCTAGGGAGCTGCTGCTTTAGTAGCCCTGCAGACTGAGCTGCCAGTACACACCGTGGGTGGCAGATGGGGCTTTGCTGATCAGTCACCTTCCTTCTTGTCAGTGCCCCAACAAGCTCTCAGAAGTATTTTTTGGGTGATGAAGCTGGGCATGCAATTTCATACCATGCTGTTTGTGTGACAACTTGATCTTCTGCTAATACTGGGTGTTTTGTCCCTGTCAGGCCCAGGAAACCATAAGGCTGAGGTTAGGTGTTTTGAAGCTTGGTGTTAGATCCAGTGTAGCAAATGAAATAATTTTCAGAGAAGATGTTCACTATCCTTTCTCTTAACAGGTGTGAAGGTGTATGCTGTTGTAAAGGCACCTGGAGGAGTCTGGAGCAATGCCACCACCTTCAGACATTGTGAAAGTGGCTGTTGAGTGGCCAGGTGCCAATGCCCAGCTGCTGGAAATAGATCAGGTGAGACCTGGTAACCAGATGGGGTAGGAAAGGCACCCCAGCGTTGATACTGGAATGTGGGAAGCATAGAAATGGGCAGTATTCCTTTCTGGTTGAGAGGAACACGGCTACTGAGGACTCTCTTTCTGTTCTAGAAAAGGCCTCTTGCATCCATCATCAAGGAGGTCTGTGATGGGTGAGTAGTTCTCTGGGAATCCTTGTGGAGAAAGTCTGTCCTGCTGACAAATCTTGCTGGGTTACTGTGGAAGTCTGCTGCTTGTTAATGTGCTGATAGCACAGTCCTTGCTGCCTGCTGCTGGTTTTGGCCATGAAATGGGGCTATGGTTTAAATTGTGAAGAAAAGGATCTCCTGGAAAATGGGAGCCTTCCATTTTTATTCCAATTCTAAATGTGTTCATTTGTGTGCCCTAGGGTCAGTTTCTCTGAGGGTTGGCCCATCCTGCTGTTGTTGAAGGCCTGTTCAGGTGTTCCACAGAGCTGATTTAGAGTAGGCTGAAGTCCCACATTGATCTCAAGAAGAGTTTTCTCTCCTTTTCGGGAGATCTAATTTTCCCTGCAAAGCTTTGCTTGAAAGTTCTTTTGCTACTTCCTGAGAGCAAGCTCCATTTCCTAATTGACAACCTGAAGAAAGAGGACAAAGATGCTTAATGTATCCTTCTTCTTCCTCTGCCAGGTGGTCCTTGCCAAACCCTGAGTACTACACACTGCGTTATGCTGATGGTCCTCAGCTGTACATCACAGAGCAGGTCAGTGTGAGAGGCAGCAGTTTGCTGATACCCTGAGAGTCCAGAATGTCTTGGACTACAGTCATGGAACAATACTGGCACTAATCCTTGAGAAGCAGCATCTCTGCTCTCAGAGAGATTCAGGCTCAAATGGTGCCATTCAACAGAGGAGCTTTGCACTGCTCTCTTTGCATGCTGTAGGTGTGGGGACTCAGGCACTCGAGTTCAGTACCCTCAGTAGGGTTTTGTGGCACAGGAGCCCTTTACTTGTGCATACAGATGTGCACTGTAGATCCAGCTGGGTTCTTTCTCCCCCCCACAGTTTAAGTTTGGGTTTTCTTTCAGACTCGCTGTGACATCAAGAATGGAACTATCCTACAGCTGGCAGTCTCCCCGGTAAATGCTTCCTCACCTCCCTCTGTCTCAGTAACTCTCCATGGGTGACAGGCTGTTTCTTACCTCTTGGCTTTTCTTTCTCCTTCTCCCCAAACTGCAGGGGGTTGTTTTTGTTGTGGGCCCTGAACGCAGTGAGGCATACACTCTTTGTTTTCCATCCTGGCTGTGGTGTGTGTCTTTCCTTTGGATGCTTGGCCCTTTTATAGAATTTCCTGACAATAAATCCAGTCTACAGTTTTAATGCATTTCCTAGATTAGGATGCTGTCCTAATTGCATTCTCAATATGAGTGTACTTAGCATGGTCAGTTAAAAAGCAACAGTTCCAGCGACTGAATGCCAAAAATTGAAATAAAGGCAAATTTGATGAAGAGGAGGTTGTTCCTGCTAAATTCTTGCTATTGTGCCCTCAAAAGTCTTTTTTTGCAACTTTATTTTTATTTAAATTCTTAAACCGTTTTTGTGCAAGTGTCTTGGTGTAGAGCTGAGGGTGAGCAGAACTGGGAGAAGGTACTTGGGCAAAAGGGAATTAAGAGGATATCAGTGATCTATGAGAGATCTTACAGAATGTCTTATGGATCATACAAAATGAGATCATGCTTCTCTTTGTATGAGACTTTTAATCAATATTGTATTTCTTTAATGGTGTTGCTCCATATTTCTATACCTACTTCCACTCAGCTCAGCAAGGGAAAAACAGGCATTTGTCCTAACATGTAAAAGAGCATTTTACTCACCTCCTGCTTGGCTGTAACTGTTGCTGAGAGAAGCCTTTTTTTAGTCTGTCTTAGACTTGCTGACTGCACCTACTGAATGTGACTTTGCTGGTATCTCTACCCTGTTTCTGCCCTCCCTGCCCACCCATGAGCTTTCTGACAGAATGCTGATGCTGGCAGGACTCAGACTGCAGGTGACTGGTCTGTAACTGGCACCATCCCTTTTCCTGCCAGTCCAGGGCAGCTCGCCAGCTGATGGAGAGGATCCAGTCTCACAGCATGGAAGCCCGGCTGGATGCCATGAAGGAATTGGCCAAACTTTCAGCAGACGTCACCTTTGCCACAGAGTTCATCAACATGGAAGGGATTACGGTGCTGACACGGCTTGTGGAGAGCGGGACCAAGCTTCTATCCCAGTAAGTTTCCTTTATTCCAGGACTCTGGCAGAAGGCCTTGAATAAGGGGCTAATTTTGCTTGCTGAAGTGGCATTAAGCAACTAACCTTACAGCAAATGCTGATCTGTGGAGACAAATTCTTTTTGGTTATTTGCTAAACCTCATGAGGCAGAAGAGGAGACAGTCGTGATTTGCTCTGGAAGTTTCCTCAAGCACATTCACAGTGAATTACGATACAAGTAATTCACTTGGATTTTCTGTTGCAGTTGTTATATTTCATTGAAAGTACTTTTAAAGTCTTGATAACTTAACGTAATATTTATAGCTCTTCTTATATATTAGCAACTAATACTTTTTTGGCATTTTTTGCAATCTTTCCTTAAGTATCTTTATTCTTTCTGTCTTGTGGTTATATATTAAATTTTCCACAATTCATGCTGTGCCTTCATTTTATTTCAAGTCACGTCCCAATATTTAGAGGACAATTAACTTCCCTTAGGTTTTTTTTTCTGATGTAAAAACGTGTTTGCTCCTTTGATTAGCCAAGTACTGATCCAGGTGGTTGTGAGTCTCTGGTGGCAGGAATAGGGACTTACTGCTGCTAATTTTAATTTGTGCTTGTAACCAGGAAAAATAAAATATCTTTCTACAAAACAGTAAAATTATCTGCATAAATGCATACACTTTATTACTCCCCCAGGTGCTAAACTGTGTTATTAGGAGAACGTGGTGACATTTTTCTCTTATCCAGCTTGAGCAGGCTTTTTTTCTTGCCAGCAGATCTCTTGTAACTGAATTCTTCAATTTTCTCAGTTATAGTGAGATGTTGGCTTTCACCCTGACTGCCTTCTTGGAGCTCATGGACCACGGTATTGTCTCCTGGGACATGGTCTCAATAACCTTCATCAAACAGGTGAGTTTGGGTGGAGGGGGTGAGTGGATATTATTTCTTTTCATGCTTTAATGCATCTTCCAGGAAGAGCAGAAGACTCTGAGAAGCTGAGTCCTGTCTGAGAGTACAGTGTGCCCCCTTTCCGAGCCCTGTGTCAGCAGCAGCTCTCCCGGCTGGGCACTGCTGACTGGTTCCTGTGTTCTCAGATTGCAGGGTATGTGAGTCAGCCCATGGTGGATGTGTCCATCCTGCAGCGCTCCCTGGCCATCCTGGAGAGCATGGTGCTCAACAGCCAGACTCTGTACCAGAAGATTGCAGAGGAGATCACCGTGGGGCAGCTCATTTCCCACCTGCAAGTGTGAGTGCCCACCCAGCAATGGTGTGATTTATACCAGTTTTATGACTACTTGTTTGTTTGAAAATACATCCTCTTACATTTGGACCACTTAAAGATTGTATTTTTTCAAGTATTACCAATATGAGAACTTACTTGAACTTTCAGATTTCTAATGGATTTTTTTAAAGTGAGGTCTTAGAAAAATATGTTCTGTGTTCTGGAAGCACTTGGGCCACATGAGTTTTGAACAAAGATACTTACTTTAAAATAACTGCTCAAGTGTGTTCAGTGCTAGGACCAAACCTGCATTTCACTAGAACAACTTCCCAAAGGTTTTGCATCCAGCTGTCTGTCACTTTTACCCTTCTTTAAATTGTCTCCACTAGAATCTAAGAGCTTATCATCTTCTGAGTTTTGTCCTGCATACTAAGGAAGAGAACAATTGCTTTTCTTGCTTGAAGGGATTAAAAATTCCCTTAATCTCCTTCCTCTCTTTCCAAACAAACTGGTAAATTAATATCTGTCTCTTAGGGCTATTTGTCTAGGTCAGTTCTACTCTTCATTATAAAAAAGCAGCATGTAGTTGTTAGAGCTTTGAGTAGGTTGGGTTTTTTCTCAAGCCTTTTAATTCTGAACGTGTGGAAAAGCACTATTTGTGAAAGTGATTGATACTCTTTAATCAGTGAGCAGTAGTTTAACCAAATTATAGTGCATCAATGTCAATGTGTGCTTCGAATGTTTATACATTTGAATTTGGTTAACAGAAAAGCTGAACAAATTCTTCTGACCACTCCAGCAGCTTTGTTCTGCAAAGAGTATATGTTCTTTCAGCTTTATAGCTTCTGGTTTAGTCAAACACGGATTTGGTCCTAACATTGAACACAGTTGTGCAGTTTTTTTAAGCAAATTAGCTTTGTTCAAGACATAAACTTGTGTGCTTAAGTGCTTCCAGAACACAAATGGTCACTTAAAGCATCCATGCAAGGAATATTTTGGAAAGGGAGGTGGAGAGTGAGTCAGGATTTGCTGGTGGTTTTCTTGGCAAGACCATCAGGAGGGAACAGTTCATAACAAAGGATATGTTCTGGCAGAACATGACCATGGAAACAAGTCCAAAGGAGATAAGTTAGAAGAAGAAAAACTAACCTAAAAAATTGTTCTGCTTTGTCAAAATGCAAGCAGTGTGATGAAAAGAGCAACAAACCCTGAAAAGGAGAGCAAAACTGAATGACAGACTTCAGAGACCTGTGCAGCTCGGAGGCCCAAGGAGAACCTAGGATGGTGCATGGAGATTTGCATGTTTGAAGTACAGCAGATTGATCAAAATGAAAAGATGTGGAAGGGAGCAATAGAAGAAAGAATATGGTTTTATCCAGAGAGATGTCAAAGTGAGGAAAATAGGTATTTAAGCTAAAAGAAGTATTTGCTTCAGAGCTTTTTACAAAAAGATCCTTTATTTCTACATGTATAGTTAAATTAATTAAATTTTTTTTAAAGTATATTCACACACACAAATTCATTTAGATGATACACTGGACTTCTGTTCATCAGAAGAGTTTGATGCAAGAGTGCACTGGGTGTGTCTGAGGTGGAGTTCACTTCCCCAGGGCAGCCCTCACAGTGCTGAGAGCTGAAAAGGTGTTGATAAAGGACCCAGTGTTTTGGCTGCTGCTGAGCAGTGCTCCAGCATGAGAGCTCTCTCTCCAATGCTTCCTCCCCTCATCCACTACCCTTGGGGCTGGGCAAGGTCTTGGAAGGGGACATAGCCAGGGCAGCTGACCCAAACTGACCATATGACATTTGCTCAACACTAAAAGCTAAGAGAAAGGAGGGTTGAGGGTCATTTGTACTATGATATTTGTCTCTCAAAGCAACTGCTGCCTGTGCTGAAGCCCTGCTTCTCAGGAAATGGCTGGACATCACCTGCTAATGGGAAGTAGAAAAAAAATCTTTTGTTTTCCTTTGCTTCCATGCCTAGCTTTACTTACACTTTTTTAAGCTGCCTTTATATTTAATGTTTCCCATCCTGTTTTCTCCCCTGCCTTGTCCTGCTGAGGAGGGGAGCGATAGAGTGGCTTGGCAGCCAAGTTCTACCCCTCAGGAAGAGTTAGAGTATTGCAGGAAACAAACCTGCATTTTATAGAATATCAGGAGGAGGACAGAAGAATATAATTGGCATTTAGAAGCTTAGTTTTGTGCTGTTTTGAACATGACAAGTTTAACCACATCCTGTGTGTGACCTAGGAAGGGGCTAAGCACCCTTTACCTGAAGAAGTTCTTCAGTGAAGCATTCTTTCCCCTTATTTCCATTTGCTTTTGGTGGCTTCCATTGGCATAGGAGAGAAAAAGAACTTTGCTGCATACAAGTTTCAAGCTATATCCATGTAGCAGACTGTACCATAACCAGGTTTTACAGAGATAGTTTCAGCATTGGAAACAAACTGTACTGGTGCTGGGCTGCAGTCTGCTCTGTCGCCTGGATAATGGACCTATCAGTCAGAAATTTCTGTCACGTTTTTGCAAGCCTTTTGAAGAGTTGGACATGATAAGTGTAGGTTACATGAGTCCTGCTTGTCTGTTGAAAATGCAGGACAGCTGTAATCAGTGTTCTCATGGTGCAGGTAAAGCAGCAAGCTGTAATATTCTGTACTGCCTGTTGCTTTACAAGCCTCCCTTTTTTGTTTCTGCAGCTCAAACCAAGAGATTCAGACATATGCCATTGCCTTGATCAATGCCCTCTTCCTGAAGGCCCCTGAGGACAAGAGACAGGTTTGTTCTTGCCTTTCGACTTCAAACCTGAGTGATGGTTGCTGCCTGGCTGTTTGTGCCTCAGAAATCATATTGTCTGGGCAAGGTAGACCTCAGACCTTGCCAAGAACTTAAGTGGCTGTTTCAGTATGGCAACAGAGGAGAAAAAGTACCATCCCATTAATAATGTGTCCTGGAGCACACATCTATATTTAGGACATGCTCAGAAAGGATTCTGAAAGACCTTCAGAGACAAAGAAATCCTCCAGACAGCGTGGGAAGTTTTTTTTAAGTTAGTTGTGTATGGGAGAGGTAGGCTGGGTAGACTCCTTGGGGCTGTATGTACTTAATAAAATAACACCCCACCTCCCTCTCCCCAAAAAGGGACCTTTTTTAAGTCATAGAGGGATATTACTGCTGGCAAACGTGAGAAATGAAACACTGCCCTGCTCTGAGGAAACTCCCAGGATCTCAGCTACCTGCAAGATCTGCATATGTGTGTATTGTGTAGCTTTGCTGTGTTAAGCCTTTCTTCTCTAGTGCCCTGTTTGTGCCTTATTCCTGGACTCCAAGCTAAATCCTGTCTGCTTCTCTTTGTGCCTTTTTTTTGCTTTCTGCCAGCAGGACAAGCTGCTTAACCCACTAGACCTGCCCATCACTGTAAGTAACTCAAGCCTGGGGGCTGGTCATGTAGGGGACCTGTAGGCATGTTAGCTTTTCTCTAGCTGTGCCTCCTTGTATCCCAGGGATGATGCTCACTGCCCCAGAGAGTGGATGAACCTAGGGAGAAGGGCGGGAGGACTCCTGGGAATGCACTCACACTGTGGAGGGAAGAATCAGTAGCAGGAGAAACCCTGAATGGCTTACTGTGCACACAAGGTCATACAGATGGTCATAAAAGGAAACTGATACTGCAAGACTGACCAGGTGAACCAATTGTAAAACTGGAATGAGTCCTTTAGCAATCTGAATCTCCTTAAAGTTACTGCAGCATGAGTTTATACCCCAAATCTCACTTGTGTTAATGAGAGTTTCATATCCAGCTGCATCCTTCTAAAGATAGAGTTGTTTATCTGTGAAGAGCAGTCACGAAACTTGATGCTGACTGGGGGTTAGAGCATAAATTCTGCCTAATTTGTGATTTCTCTCTTATGGTTAATTGTAGTGTAAGAATGTTTTTGGCCCTGTGCTAACTCCAGGAAATCAGCATTCTTGTTAATAGGTTGATTTGGAACCTTCTGTATTGAGATACTGGTATGTTTTTTGGTTTTCTCCATGGCACAGAGAATGTTCCACTTTTTTCAAGGATGCAGCACCTTCAGAGTGGAAACTGCTGTGTCAATAAATGTTACATAATTTCTAAAATTAATGGATATGCTTATATTCACGTATTAAGAAAAATCATACTCCTCTCTTGGTAATTCAGCAAAGATAGTCGACTTCATAGCAAACAGAATTCCAAGGGATTTTTCGCTCTTTCCCCTCCCTTCAATACAATCCAAATGACCACAAAGGGCCAGGAAGTTGACTAAGGGACTTGGAGTATCTTTCATATCAATAGAGCCAGAGAGATTTGGGATTGCTCAGCCCTAAGAAGAGAAGAATCAGGGAGGTCTTATGTGTTTAAATATCTGATGGAAGAGAATAAAAAAGAGGGAGACTGACTCCTCTCAGTTGTGCCTACTGACAGGACAAGAGGCAGTGAGCACCCATTAAAAACCCAGGAAATTCCACATGAAAACTTCCACACCCACACAAAATAAATATGTGAGTGGTCAAACATTGGAACAGGTTACCCAGAGAGATTATGGAATCTCCATTGGTGGAGATATTAAAAACCTGTCTGGACAGTCTTGGGCACCCAGATCTGTCTGATATTGCTTGAACCAGTAGAGTTGGACTAGGTGCTCTCAAGACATCCCTTTCAGCATAAATCATTCTGTGTTCCTGTGACCATCAAGCAGCAAAGTGTGCCTTACTGGACTCTCAGCAGGGCACAGATCCCTTAGCAGTGGTTAGACTGTGTGTCTGCTCATGCTTCTTTCTATGCTGTTTAGAATTGTTTAATTGTCTTTGTCCTTCCCACTTTTTATCTGCTTCAGTCACCTGTTAACTCCATCCCATGTACAAACTAATTCCTTCAGAAAAAGGATTCTTTGTGTCACATGCATGAGCAAATCCTAACAACAGCCTTGTCCTATTCTCAGTACTACATCTCACAAATAGTAGTAGAAAATAATGACTCAGAGGGCAGTGTGTTCTCTCTGAAAGCACCTCCTACTTCATCTAGATGTTCCTTAGAACCTTCCACTCAAGCACTGGCTCACTTTGGTTGCAAAATGAGCGGTGCTGAACTTGCAGCCATTATGGCTTGGCTGTCAGTCACTGTCTTGATTCAGGAGGTTTCTGTCTGCATCAGAAGTGATAATAGAGACTCTGAACAAAGTTAATGCACGTATTTTACCAGATTTCTTACTCTGTCAAGAGTGATGTTGATACGAGCAGTTGGAAAATCTTGGATTTCTCAGAATGTGCAGCTGATTGAGTGCAATTGTCCGAGACTCCACATCTGCTCCCAATTCTCAATCTGCACTGCACAGGAACGTGAAGAGATCTCAGACTGTCAGTTCTTTTGGATTTCTTCCAGATGATAAAATGCCCGACAGATTTTTCTTATCCAAAAGATTTTGCTTGTAGCAGCAAACTCAGGATACTCACCTTGACATTAGCACTTGTTCCATTCTCCTAGCAGGGTAATGACATCACTGGTATGTTGGAAAGTGCATCTTCACAATTCACAAGGGAAGCACAGGTTAGGTTTTTGCAGATGCATGTGTAATTGTTGCTGGAACTGAAGGCATCTTGCATCTGCTGTGACTGTTTGTCATCATGACTTGATGTTTGGGAAACCCCCCTCATCTAGAGAAGGAAACCATATAGTCAACAGGGAAACTGGAAGCTTTCCTCTAAGCATGAAAATTGTTAGCCTGTATTTTTGTAAATTGAAATGCTTCTGCAAATTGTCCTCAAGCTGACTTCTGAACATCTCTTTAGGAACTGGACAAAGGAAATAAATTTCAGAGGGAGAGTTTTTGAGAGGCAGGAGACCTGAAACCTGCATCCCATAGCTCTTGTTATCTTGGGTGCTTACTTGCTATAAGAAGCTGTGAAATGCTAATTGGAGGAAGCTCTTGTAGGCAGATTTTTCCTGGGCAACACACAATATTCTCCCTGCTGCCATATTTCCTAATAGTGAAGTACCATTTGATGTCCAGCATTAAGCTAAATTTGCTTCTGTGCTTTGACTCTGCTAGTGGCTTTTTCCAGTCTAGTGATGTTATGCAGGAGAGTCATCTATGAGTTGTGATGAGATGCTATGCTAAATTGACAGTCTGTAGAAAAGCACTTTGTTGTGTGCCAGTGCTATCTCCAATTCATAGGTTTTTTCCATTTTCTCCTTTCTGCACAGTGTGGGCTTTTTGTTTATATTTCACTCATGTTATTTCATCTTTAAATTCTACAACAGGAAATGGCTAATGCATTTGCCCAGAAGCACCTGAGGTCTATAATCCTAAATGTAAGTATGTCTGGAATGACAAAGTGATTCCTAATGTCCTCTCAATGGAGGTTTCACTTGTGTATAGTGTAAATTCTGCTGCCCTCAGGGCACTTTCAGAAAAGTGACTCATTCAAAGGCAAAAGTTGTTCAAAAGGGAGTTACCAGGATGCTGCTTTCTGCTCTTATAGAGCATTATAATTATGCTTCTGGTGGAATATGGAGGTTAAACAACTGAATCTTCATATAGAGAGATGCACATGCAGTCTGGCATATGCCTAGGGCTTTTATGCCCTCAGCTTTTATTTGCATTCTCTTAATTTCTACCCTCTCCTTTATTTTGAAGCATGTGATCAGAGGAAACCGCCCCATTAAAACAGAAATGGCACATCAGCTCTACGTCCTGCAGGTCCTGACCTTCAATCTCCTGGAAGAGAGAATGATGACCAAGATGGATCCCAATGATCAGGTGACTATTAGAGCCAAGTAAGATCTAATGGAATAGGATGTACAAGGGGCCTTATTCCTGAACTCCCTAGCACTATAGAATTTGCAGTGGATGGTACATCAAGTTTCAAACTCACTCTTCACATTGTACACCTTGAGATTAGGGTATGCTCATGACCATCCTACTGCATTCTGTGGGACTCTGAGATGTAAGTGGGCACTGAAAGTCTATATATTCCTTTATTGATCAGTGTGATGCCAGCTGTCAATCTGGTTACTTTACCTCTATGGAGGGCACATTTTATACATTTGATTGCAGTATGGAAGGAAAACTGGGCATTTTTAAGGTGTCTATTACTCAGCTGCATTTTTAAAGAGACCCGGAATGCCTAGAAGTTGCCTGTGACTAAACTTGCAGTTAAAGAAAAATGCAAACAAATATTTTGCATTATCTACTGTACCGAAACGTGCCATTTTGAAATTGATTGCTTCTTTGTGCATAGAGTTAATGACCTTTGGCATCTCTCTGTTCATTGTGTGAGCTCTGAAGAGAGATGCAGGACTGTGCATTATGTGAAAATATTACTGTAGTGATTGATCACATCACCATTTCCCTGCCTTCTGTCCTTCAGGCACAGAGAGACATCATATTTGAGTTGAGAAGAATTGCATTTGATGCAGAGTCTGACAGCAACACCGTCCCTGGCAGCGGAACAGAGAAGCGCAAAGCCATGTACACCAAGGACTACAAGATGCTGGGATTCACTGTATGCATCTAGACTGCAAACCTTGTGAAGGCAATCTAAGCAATCTCCAGAGGAGTTGTGGGGAAATAAGGAACAGAAATAGCTGTTTCTTTTACTTTATTTCAGTATCTGAGTTTACAGATTCAGTTACACTCCTGGGGAAGGTTGCTGATGGGTTAAATGCAAGGGTTCATTAGGCATTCTCTGGAGGTATTTCCTTACCATATGCACCTGTGCTATGAAGAACTTGGAATCATCCTCTCCTCTAGAAAGTTCACATAGCATTGTCAGCTGGTGTTCAAGTTTACCTCTTGGATAGATGTGAGGGAGTGCTTGATGGACAGGTGGTTTAAAATTCACTCAGAAAAGCTACTCACACAATTCCTTTGAGCTAATTTGTTTGGATTCTTTCTACACACTCTTTTCACAGAATCACATCAATCCAGCCATGGATTTTACACAGACTCCTCCTGGGATGCTAGCATTGGACAACATGCTTTACTTGGCCAAATTTCATCAGGACACCTATATCAGGGTATGTGAAGCTGCTGATTTTTACAGATGCCTACACCTCAGCAGCTCTTCTTAGTGTGTGTGGCATCCTGTTCTTGTAGATTGTTCTAGAGAACAGCAGTCGAGAAGATAAACACGAGTGTCCCTTTGGGCGCAGTGCCATTGAGCTCACCAGGATGCTTTGTGAGATCCTGCAAGTTGGGGAACTCCGTAAGTACCATTTGTTACCCAGCTTTACAGGCTGCTGGACTGATGCTTCTAGAAACTAATATTCACAAACATCTGTACCTTGATCTCACTTCTGCCATGTAAGGACAGGGTGAGCTTGGAGTTAGCATTGTTTATGTCTAAGTGATAATACCACTATCAAAATAAAGTAAGAAATTTTGGTGTGTGCACTCTGGTTTTCCTGAAAAACTGATACAAGCAGAAAGCTTCAACTTCCCAGAGCTTCAGGAGGGTGCTGCATTAAAAAAAATAGCCTTGAAACCATCATGAACTTGGGAAAACTTTCTTAGCTCTGACAGTTTCAAAACAACATTCTGAGAAAATTAACCACTGTAAGAAATTCCATCAGAGGAAGGTGGGAAACACTGCAAGCAGTTATTTGGGGGAACCAGGATGAAAAGGGCATGAGTCACAGAGGTTTGCATGGAAGAGTGTGGGGACAATTGCTGTTGTCAATAAACTGTCTATGGGGTGACAAAGTATTGAGCTGTCTTAATCTCTTGGAGTAAGTACTGTTGCAGACCATCAGTTGTCTGTCACTTTAGTTACTCCTCGTACTTTTTGTCCAATATGCTCACATGGTTGTCGTTTGTTTCTTTCTGAAGCCAATGAAGGCAGAAATGACTATCACCCCATGTTTTTCACCCATGACCGTGCATTTGAGGAACTGTTTGCCATCTGTATCCAGCTGTTGAACAAGACGTGGAAAGAAATGAGGGCGACGGCAGAAGATTTTAATAAGGTCAGGGTGGAGAAGAGATATTTTTGTAAAACCTTTTGTAGATCAGCACATGTTCAGTCAGCCTGTGCATTTGGTTAAAGAGTAGGGTGCAGAAGATGTGGCAAGGCATTGGTATGGGCTGTCAGGGAGGATGACTCAACTTTTATTTGGAATGCCCTGAGTTTCTTGGTTCTTCTGGAGCTTCAAAGTCACTAGTATGCTGATTCTCCTGGCCCTGGTTATCCCATGTCAGTTCTTTGCTGCCACGGAGCTGTGTCCTGATACTCTGCTGCCAACAAGAACGTGACTTGTTTTTCTTCCTGTCCACCTCTAGGTTATGCAGGTTGTTAGGGAACAGATCACAAGGGCTCTCCCCTCTAAACCAAACTCCTTGGACCAGTTCAAGAGCAAACTGCGCAGCCTGAGCTATTCAGAGATTCTGCGACTACGCCAGTCTGAGAGAATGAGCCAAGACGACTTCCAGTCTCCACCTATTGTGTATGTGCCTAACAAGAAGAGTTGCCTTCTCTCCTTGCCATTATCTCCATTTTCTGCTTACTCTTCCATATTTAATTGCCAGGGAGCTGAGAGAGAAAATCCAACCTGAGATCTTGGAGCTGATAAAGCAACAGCGCCTGAACAGGCTTTGTGAGGGAAGTAGCTTTAGAAAAATTGGAAATCGCAGAAGACAAGGTAAGGTGACAATGTTTTTCAGTACTGTACTGTATTTTTTCATGTGAAGAACTGTAGCAAATAAGATCTAATTAATTAATCTGTCAACAGGCATATTGCCAGAAAGAAAAGCTGGTTACTTGGGCTGTCCATATCAGCAACTAGTTTGGGATGGCACAAATGTACATTTCTAAGAATACAGCCATCCCCTCATGACTAAGCGGCTGTGCTGAGGAACTGGGCAAGCAGATGGATCGGGTGGAGAGGCTGTAACATAGTGGTTGTGAGACCTTTTGTGAATGGTCTTGCTCAGCTTACTCTACTTGGTGTGTTCCAGAAAGATTCTGGTATTGTCGCCTGGCTCTGAATCACAAGGTGCTGCACTATGGGGATTTGGAAGACAATGCCCAGGGGGAAGTGACCTTTGAATCTTTACAAGAAAAAAGTAAGTCCTGATTACAGGCTGTGCACTCTTCTGTGCTCTGCTGTCTAGAGGCTGAACGTAATCCTAGATAAAGATGAAAGACCCAAGGCTGAAGCCCTGACTAAGGGAATACCAACTTTTGGTCCTTGCCCAAATTCTTCAAATCTTGGAATTACTTGATCTTTTCTAAAAGCCAGCTTCAGGGATGTCTTACTGGTAATGTGTTTTGGAAAACTGCACTAACGAGCTAAAAAACCAAACAGTGTTCAGTTGCAAAGACAAAACAAAGTTCTGTATTTTCCTGGTTAGGATTGCTTGTTTGGGAGTTTTACTTTTTCACTGTTAGTTCCAGTTGCAGACATCAAAGCCATTGTCACAGGGAAGGATTGTCCACACATGAAGGAGAAAAGTGCACTGAAACAGAATAAGGCAAGTGCTCCCTTTTCACTGTCATTAATATCTAATGCTGTAGTGTGTAAGACTGAAAGTAACAAGAGTGGATGATCTCCCCACTGCAGGTGTGTTGTGTACAAACCCCATCTCCTGTCTGAGCCCTTTCCTAGTGTCCTTTGTGACTGCTAGGAGCTGTAAGCATGACTGTGCTGTAGTCTCTTCAGAGCTGCTCACACTACCAATATGGGAAGGTGTACTGAGCTGCAGCAAGGCAGCTCTCTCGGGGTGGCAGGCAGAAGGTGCTGTAGTGTTTTGTTCAGTTGGTGAGTGAAAGATTCTTTTCCATTTAGGAAGTGTTAGAATTGGCCTTCTCCATATTATACGATCCCGATGAGACCCTGAACTTCATTGCACCTAATAAATATGAGGTAAGAAACGTAGTGGTTAAGCAATAGAATATATAGCAGTTAACTTCAGAGATTAAGAAGGATCAGTTGCTTTTCATTAAAGACTTGAGCAGGCTGTCTCTCAGAATTCCTAGAATTATGTTGGTGATGCTTAGTATGAACCATCAGTTTTTTTCCCTTAGTTATCTTTCTCATTTAAAAAGAAAAGAAAACCCCACACTAATTTCCCCTCATCTGGACTGCTACGTTTTTTCCTCCTATGATGCCTAGAATAGGTTTACTTTTTTCAGTTGTTGTGCCAAAGTAGAAACTCTTGTCCTTCTATTACAACCATGGGCTCACATTTCCTTTAGGCTTGTAACTTCCATTGGAAATCTCTGTGGACACTGTTTTAGGGTTGGGGTGGTATTTTTTACCTACATATTAACTCCCTCCAGTGTTTCCTGTCTTGAAGTTCATGGACGGAAAGATTCGACATAAGGTTTCATTTATGCCTGGAGTCGTGAATTACCCCTTCTTTTCCACAGTACTGTATCTGGATTGATGGGCTTAACGCTCTCTTGGGGAAGGACATGTCCAGTGAGCTGACCAAGAGCGACCTGGACACGCTGCTGAGCATGGAAATGAAGCTGAGGCTCCTGGACTTGGAGAACATCCAGATCCCCGAAGCGCCGCCGCCGATCCCCAAGGAGCCGAGCAGCTACGACTTCGTGTACCACTACGGCTGAGCCACGGGCAGCCGAGCCCGCTCGGGCCGTGCGGCGGGGGCCGCCGCTTGCAGCCGTGCCGCGGGCCCGGGGCGGGGGCCCTGCCGCCGCCCGCCTTTTGTATCGGTTCCAATAATAACCAGTAGCGCTCCTCGCCGCCGCCGCCTCCGCCTCTTTCCGCCCTGCGCGGAGCGTCACCGCTGCGCGCCCGCCCCGCTCCGCCACCGTCGCTCGTTCCCCCGCCCCGCCGGGCAACGTCACCGGCGGCCCCGCTTCCCCCACCGCCACGGCCCGCTCAGCATTTCGCTCCCCCTGTCCCGCCCTGCCCTGCCCTGCCGCGGCCCCGTCCCCGGCATCCCCCAGTCCCGTCCCGGTCCCTCCTGCTCCTGGCTCCCCCGGCGCGGTGCCGGGCGCATGGCGGCGGGGGCGGGCGGCGCGGCCCTGGGGCGGGCGGCGCTGGCGGCGCCGCTGGTGCTGCTCTACTACGGCTTCTCCATCGGCATCACCTTCTACAACAAGTGGCTGATGAAGGTGCGGGGTGGCGGGGCGGTGCGGGGTGGAGGCGGCGGGAGGGCGGCGGCGGTGACAGCGGCTGTCGGTCCCGCAGAGCTTCCCGTTCCCGCTGCTGGTCACTCTGCTGCACCTGCTGCTCATCTTCGCTCTCGCGGCGCTCGCCCGCGCCCTGGCGCGCTGCCGCTCCGGGCGGCCGCGGGCAGCGCTGTCCTGGGCCGACTGCCTCCGCCGGGCCGCCCCCGCAGGTACGGCCGGGCACGGGAGGGGTCGGGAGCGGGACACAGGCTTGGGGCACAACAGTGTAAGAAAGACATGAAGGTGTTGGAGAGCATCCAGAGGAGAGCCACGAGGATGGAGATGGGAGTGGAGGGGAAGCCTTAGGAGCAGCGGCTGAGGTCGCTTGGTGTGTTCAGCGTGGAGAAGTGGAGACTGAGGGGAGACTTTATTGTGGTCTTCAACATCCTCACTTGAGAAAGCAGAAGGGCAGGCACTGATCTCTTCACTCTTGTAACCAGTGACAGGATCCAAGAAAACATATGAAGCTGAATCAGGTTGGATATTAGGAAAAGGCTTTCACCCAGAGGGTGGTTGAGCACTAGAACAGGCTCCCCAGGGCAGTGGTCATGGCAGCAAGACTGACTGAGCTCAAGAAGCATTTGGACACTGCTCTCAGGCACAGGGTGGGATTCTTAAGGTGTCCTGTGCAGGGCCAGGAGTTGGACTCAATGATCCTGGTGGGTCTCTTCCAACTCAGCATGTTTTGTGAGGCTGCTTGGGGATTCCCATGGTGCTTTAGCTGCTCCCAGAGCTGTTTGTCTGCCTGGGGTGTTCGGGGCCAATCCCCTGGGACAGGGTGAGCTGTGGGGTGCAGCCATCGCTTCGGCCCCTGTGTTTCCCTACCAGGTGAAGGGCAGGTCACTTAAAGCTTCAGCCTGAGACATGCTACCTTTATTGCTCATTACAAATATGTGTGAGAATAGGGAGAGGCCACACAGAACGAGTCTTTCTGAAGGAGCCACTGGCACATGAGAGCAAGCCATGAGAACCTCCTGCAGCACCTTGGCAAGTTGTCTTTGCAAGTAACATTTTTTTCTTTAACACTGGTATCGAGCCATGTGTTGGATCTTTCTCAGGGTGGAGCTTGGTAGAGAATTCATCACTCATGGCACACAGAACTCTACCTGAGACCAAGGAGTGAAGCTCCTGCTCGGCACACAGAGTTGTAACTATTTCTGCAGTTCTTTGGCTGTGTGTTGTATTGGCTCCCAGAGAACAGCATCTGGTCTATGATCTCTGGCAAGGTTTGCAGTACCTTACAGAGCATGCACCATGGTTTCTTGGAAAAAGTTTTCTCCACATCTGCAGCAATTTTACCTTTCAGCGTGGCCTGCCCTTGGATCAGTAACACTGTTTCCTGTGGTAGGAAACTTACATAGAAGAGAGAATAGACTGTACCAAAAGCTGCACCAGGGTTAAGGCTCCGTGTGGACAATTGTTACTTCAGACTTCTTGCAGTGGCCCACAGACTTACAAGTTATCATGCTCTGATACATTCAAGAAAGACTTTATGCAAATCTGTAATCACTTTCAATCACAGGGTGGGCAAGAGTTATTTCTGGCTTTTTTGTAATGCATGTTGAGTGAGTGCAATGCTGAGCCCAACTTGAGTCACAGGGAACAAGACAGAAACATGAAGAGCTGAGAATATCGGAGTTATGTTGGTTCTGAAGAACTAACTTGAGGAAATCTTATTTCTTTCCCTGGGTCTGCTCTGCTATCTATGTTTGTGGCCATGCAGCAGGGTTTTGTGGTGGGTTTGTTTAATGTCATGGAAGACAGTTAACTTGAGGACTTTTTCATTGATTCTTTAGCTCTGTCAACTTCCTTGGATATTGGGCTGAGTAACTGGAGCTTCCTGTATGTCACTGTCTCCCTGTGAGTAGTAACACCACGTTCCCTGGGAGCCTCTGGTGGGGTTTGGAGAGTGCTTTGCCAGGGTGTGTTTCTTGAACAGGTGTTTGGTTAGTGGGGTCAGCATGCAGGGTCTGTGATGGCTTGCTGGTAGCAATGTAGAAATGAGTGATGGTTCCTAATAGTGCTTTGATGGGAATAATTACAATGAAGGCGTCTGACAGTATATTTTGGTACTTACAGCTACACAATGACCAAATCCTCTGCCATTCTCTTCATCCTGCTTTTTTCACTGCTCTTCAAGCTGGAGGAAATGGTAAGGGTCCCACAAAATGCTTTAGGGAGGGAGGTCAGACGCAGGGAAATAGGCAGTGCATGTACAAGAAACATGTAAGCAGAGGAATGATGCAATTATGTGGGTGAATCTGAAAGGAAGGAGGTGCCTGTCTCTGTTGTGTCTGCTCTCCTGCAGAGGGTGACGTTGCTGCTGGTGGTTCTGCTCATCGCTGGGGGACTCTTCATGTTCACCTACAAGTCCACACAGTTCAATGCACAAGGGTTTGTGCTGGTGCTCTGTGCCTCTTTCCTGGGGGGCATTCGCTGGACTCTCACACAGATACTGATGCAGAAGGCTGAACTGGGTATGTGGGGTGTTAGGAGAGGGTGGTGGTGCTGGTAACAGGGAGGGGAATAAGGAGAGGTGATAGCCCTTGCTGCAGAAACAAAACATCTCATGGAGGGTGATGGAACCCTTGGGCACAGGATATCTGTTGGTGGGTAATGAAGGTGGCTTGGTGTCTGCAGCAGCAGAGGTATGGGCATCACAAATATGGTGTATGTCTAGGAGTGGTGCTAATAAAGGCTCTGGGGCCTGTGTTATTCCCTGGCTTGTTGCTGCCTGCTCTGTTATTGATTCTCCTCTTTCAGGGCTCCAGAATCCCATTGATATCATGTTTCACCTGCAGCCGCTCATGTTCCTGGGGCTCTTCCCACTCTTTGCGGTGTTTGAGGGTGCGTGAGTTAATTAGAGAAAGCAGGGATAGCTTTAGAGGGTGGTTGGGAGATTGCTTAACAGTTTGTTGTTAGAGATAATTCACTTAGATAAGTGAACAGCTATGAACTCTGCAAAGTAGTTAGAGACCTGGATTTATCTGATGCTGGCAGGACATTAAAGAGGGCATAGAAGTAGTAGCCTGCCACACTTGTGGAAGTAAGGGCTGTGAAGAAGTGGCTCCACATCCTCCTGATACTGGAATGTGAGCAGCCCACCCCATCAATCTTATTAAGAGGAATCCTGGGAGCTGGGAATGGTATTCTGCTACTCATTGTCTTGTTCCTAGGCCTGCCTTTGTCCATATCAGAGAAGCTCTTCCGTTTCCATGAAGCAGGAATGCTGTTCTCTCTGGTAGGGAAGCTGTTCTTGGGTGGAATTCTTGCCTTTGGTCTAGGCTTTTCTGAGTTCCTCTTGGTTTCCAGAACATCTAGCCTCACCCTTTCCATTGCTGGCATTTTTAAGGTAAGGCATGGTTCCTGTGCTAATACTAGAAGGCAAGTACTGAGTCATCCCTATTGGGCTTTATGTGGTGGGAGCTTGCTTAGATCTTTAGAAATTATTGCTTGTTATTTTTGTTCTCCTTGCACAGGAGCTTGATGCTTTGCCTTGCAGTCTCTGCAGTGAAGTCTCTTGGTCCCTGGCAGCAAAGGGCCAGAGACTAGTGGCTGCTCTATGAAAAATACCATTAATGGTCAAAGTTTGTTGGCATGTGGGATAGACTAAAACACATTGCCCTCGTGAGCAGCAGATGGTGTGGAAGAGAGGAGGGGTAAGAAGGGCAAGCTCTTGCATCAGACCTGCATATGACCAAACCACTGGTTTGAGCTATCTCTGTAACCTAGTTTGGCACATCCTCCCCTCCTCAGAGGAGTCCAGCACACATACTTTTGAGCTGAGCTGTGATACATGAAATCTCTCTGATCCAGAAGTTGCAAGATTCCTCTGTAACTGAGCTATGCAGTCAGATGACTTAAAATCCCACATCCCAGTTTGACAGGTTGTTTGTTTCTAGAAACTGTTTTTAGAACTCTGTGCACATGAAAGAATGTGCTGATAGAAATTTAGCAGCCTGACATCTTGATCTAGGCTTCAGCTGTAAGATGTCTCATGCATATCTCCTCAGGTCCTGTCCTGCCACTTGTCATGTTTTTTTGTTTCCACAGGAAATCTGCATTTTATTCCTCGCCACACATTTACTGGGAGATCGCCTCAGTCTCTTGAACTGGCTGGGCTTTGCTGTCTGCCTGTTAGGAATCTCCCTTCATGTTGTTCTCAAAGCCATGAATTCCAAAGGTGATTGTTTTAAATCACTTTCTTTGTGGGCTTTCTCATTGCTTCACTAGGAGCTGAGTCTGGTTCCAGCTCCTTGACAGTGCCAGGTTTGGTGGGAACTCCAGCACGTTTGTCACTAAATGAACTGTGTGCATGCAGGTGACAAAGCACTGGAGCCACACAAAGAGACCAGCTCTGACCCTGACCTGGAGCTGCTGCTGCACCACCCTGGACATGGCGAGGAAGAGGTTGTTGAAACCCCACAACAGCACTGACTGAACATGAAGCACAAAGCCACTGCTCTGTTCTTACCAAACCTGCCTGACAGCTATCCAGGAGGAAGGTCCAAAAGTCTCTGTGACCACCCAAAGCAGGCCAGGGCCTGGTGAGAGAATTCTGCTGTTCTG